CCCGGTTTTGTGTCATCAGCAAACTTGCTGATGGTCCACTCTGTCCCCCTCTTCCAGGTCATTGATGAATATGTTGAATAATACTGGTCCCAGTATCGACCCCTGAGGGACTCCACTGGGTACAGGCCTCCAATTAGACTCTGTCCCATTGACAACAATTCTCTGACTTCTTTCCTTCAACCAATTCACAATCCACCTCACTACCCGATCATCCCAACCACTCTTCCTCAGTTTACCTGCGAGGATGCTCTGGAAGACGGTGTCAAATGCTTTACTGAAATCAAGATAAACCACATCCACTGCACTACCATTGTCTATCTACCAGGTTATGTCTCATAAAAGGCTACCAGATTTGTCAAACATGACTTCCCCTTGGTGAAGCCATGTTGACTGCTCCTTATTAGGCACTTAAAATACCTAAATTGCTGTCTTTCAAGAATGTTAATTAGTTTTGCCAAGAAGATTAATCTACATTTGATGTAATCACCCTTAGTGACTGCCAGGAAGGCAGTACTTCACAAAACTAAAATCAAAGTCAAACCCAAGTAGAATGATGAATTTTAAGACATTGTCTTCTTTTAAACTTCAGCTTAATTGTATGTATTTCAAATATATACTATTTTAATCTTTAGGTTTAAATAGTATAATTTTTGACTGCTATGAAATAATTAGTATTTCTCCTTATTAACTTCAATTTGGAGATAGCTTTTATCACTATTTTCCTACTAAAAATGACATCCCAGCCTTAAAACTTTTCCAGTTCAACAAATAATGCAAAATATTTGCTCATTTATTTAGTTTCTAAGTACTCATTTCTTCATTCATCTTTTGTTTCCTTTCAGTATTAGTTGTCTTGTTTATGGCTCTCAAGAGACAGAGGAAGAAAGAACCCTTGATCATCTCAAAGGATGATGTTCGGGACAACATTGTGACCTACAATGATGAAGGAGGTGGGGAAGAAGACACCCAGGCTTTTGACATTGGCACACTGAGAAACCCAGAAGCAAGGGAAGAAAGTAGGATGAGAAGAGATGTTATCCCAGAAACTATATTTCAGATAAGACGGACTGCACCTCTTTGGGAAAACATTGATGTCCAGGATTTTATCCACAGAAGGTTAAAAGAAAATGATTTAGACCCAGCTGCTCCTCCTTATGATTCACTAGCAACATATGCCTACGAAGGAAATGATTCCATAGCAAATTCACTTAGCTCTCTGGAATCGCTTACCACAGAGGGCAACCAAGACTATGATTACCTCAGTGACTGGGGACCTCGGTTTAAAAAACTAGCAGATATGTATGGTGGAGAAGACAGTGATAGAGACTAAGAAAGTAGTCTGTGACCTGGTCAGTGTTAGTGGAATTCATGTATAAGTTACTCGATAAAGTGGCCCACTCTCTCTTACTCGGGAATAAAAAATTTACAAAAAATAGGTGTTGTCTTAGTAAGGGTTTGCTTAATCAATAAGTCAACATGAATGAATATGAATGATTCACGTTTTTAAAACGAAAATAAATCTATAATCCACCCTCTCTGCCTAGAAACCTCTGATAAAAGAGTTTTATTGACAATGAAAGGCTTTTTGTGCCTTCAATAATGAGATGGAACCGTAATTTTTATTTTTATTTTTTTTAACTGCTTTGCATTACCTTTCCTACTAGTTGGGACAGTGTGCACCTGCATTGTAACATAATCTCAAAAATAGACTTTAAAAAGATTAATATTACTGCCATATTTATTGAGTTAAAGAATGTCTATGTGTTGATTCATCATGATATTTTTATATCTGTATATTTATATTTTTGTATTTTTATTAAATAAATTAGTATTTATAAAAACAGTACTCACTCGTACTTTGTTAATCATAAGGTACTGTCCAATCTTTCTGAACAGAGGAAACTGCGTATCATGCAATACTTAATCTTCTTACACTGGATTAGTGGTTGAAGTGTACTGTGCAAGA